TTTGCTACTCAGGTTAAACATGATATATAAGTCACTCGGATAACTTAAAAATGTAATTGTTTGCCTTTTTTTCTGTGTTTTATTTGTTCCTGAGTAAATCGGTTTGGCTGTGATTAAAGTTATAGTTTTTACACAGCTGAATAAACGTCAAGCAGACAACTGATTATCAGAAGTGTGACATCAAATGGTGCAAGTAAAGTGGTGCTTGACCACTAGCTATTAATGTGTGTCCCTAGTGCTTGCGGTGGCCAACCGAATTAACCCTCTCGCCCAAGGACAATGTCCCGCATCCGGAACAGAGGGGAGGCATAACCCTCAGAACATTTTGCGCCCCTAGGAAGTCCAACTTCCCGTCCTAAGTACTTTAAATAACTCTAGAAGCATCACTGTGGACTCTAACCGCCAGTTTATTATCTGATGCCCGGGTCCCACCCTATAATCAATATGGGAATAAAATTCCCTGACCAAATGTCCTAATCTAATCTCAAAGTAAACGAAAAAAGAAGTAGCAAGAGCATGAAAAAACGATACCAACATGAGGTTGTTGACGAACTGGTGGTGAACGAGAGTCTAGGTGGAGCTTAAATCCTCAACCTGATTACCCAGAATCAGCCTCAGGTGTACAGGAGTGCAGGAGAGATGATGGCTCCGCCCAGGGGTGGAGACCAAGGAACTCGGGTGAATGATGGAACTTTCCAGTCAAACCTCAAGGTCCTGACAGAGGATCATTGCCTTATTGTATAAGTGTATAAACTCTATAACATTTAAGTACTAAAGGCTGGACAATAGAGAATGCTGCAAAATATCACTCAGATTTGTGGTGGAGAGTTCCCTGCCCTCCTCCCAGAAGATGACCCTGCTGATGGTCATGAAAACTGTACAGAGGATTGTAAGCAGCAGCATCCCCAGCACCAAATGCATGTGAGATAGGTGAGTCCTGAGAACTGCCCCTGATAAGCAGAGCTGGTTTTTGTCCCTTTCATAAGCTCAGGTTTGGGCAATTAGGTATTCTCTGGAGTGCACCTGAAGCTGCGAGTGCTTGGTCCAAGCCGGGCAAGTTGGCACTTTTAACTTTTTTTATGGACGCTAGCCTTCTGTTAGAACGGTAGGTCATAGCAAATGGACCACTTGAGGTCTGGCTCAATGGCAGAGATTTAAAGTTATTTGCACCCTTGTAGGTAGGTGGGAAACATTGCGCTACTCCGGCAGAGAGATGTGTAGTGGAGTCCACCGCCACTGACCAATATTTATTAGGGTGTGACGTAGGGCGGGGCCATATCATACCATTCACGTTAATACCGGTATAATGTTGGGCAACGACAAGAAAATGAAATATCGCGATAGAATATGGGTGAAACGCATATGCGCAGTGCATTTGTTTTCATACGCACATGGCGAAAAAGGCACGGCGGCGACGGAGAATGAGAAGGGCGAAAGCGATCGTTGAATGAAACGGATGAACCAGAATTGGTTTGTAAAAATGCTGCAACTTCAGTGGTGTGGAACTGGTTTAGCTTTCGTCCGTCAGATACACAACAAAGCACTATTTTTGGTAGAGCATGCTAGCGGGCCGTGTTATTACCGTGTTTTTTGGAAAATATGGCACACTTAAAATCAATCCTTTGATTTTTCTGAAAATAAATCTAGAAATGTATATCTTATAATCCCGTGTGCCTTATGTTTGAATTCTGGTTGTGTTTACTGACTGATGCTTTAGTACGACTTTGCTAAGCTACAAACCTGCACCACTTGATGGATTGTCAGCATTACGGCTATCGTAGGCAGGAGCCTCGCGGAGTGATACGTACTGTGCTTCAACATAATATTACCGTATTGTGTGTGTATAAGCTCTTTTTAAGTTTTGTGGATATTATACATGGTTATGCTGAGGATATGTCGGCCAATTTCCACTGGAAATGCCTTTTGGTTAAACTGTCAGCAAGGAATTTGCATTTGCACTGTTACATTTTTATATAACTTTAATGCACATAAAAAACAGCTGCTTGTTTAAGTGAAAATACATTGATGGGTTTTTTGCACTAATAAAGTTGTGGAGTTGTAAAGTATTTTGTCTAGTGTCAATTATATCGTCAGTTATATCGTTATCGCAAATTTTCAAATGTATATCGTGATAAATATTTTTGGTCATATCACCCTGCTCTAGTGTGACGCGAACTTGTGGACAGGTAATGAAAGCAAAATAATTGGAGAGATACTCCCGCTGCGTTTTACTGTCTAGCATAAGTGATCTCCTGCTTTTATTTACAGAGTACAGAGCTGCTGCTTTGCCGAGTGGATTTCTGGCTGCGGGCCGAGGACCCGATACAGCGGTGTATTTTAATTTGTTTTAACCTGGTGTAATCTGACATATTGTGGCGGCTGCGGCTGTCAATTTTGTTTGGGTTTTATTTTTAAAATTAAACCCATTTTAACCGACTGGTATACATGTGTGACCCGTGGGTCACACAGCAGATTTAGGAAATGGCCTTGAAACACTTCATTGTATCTTGATCACAAGTAATATACAGCAGATTAAGTAGAGAGAGAAATTTAGAAAATCAAAGGGACAAATGGAAACAAATAAACAATAAATAAATATAATTGTGCTTCTTTCTTTTATTTACAAAGCATGCTTTGCTATTATTACAAGGACTCCTTTGTTTCACCCACTTGGTATAAACTAAAATCCAGACATATACATACATGGAAAACAATATGCATATAACACATATTTAAAATAAATAGTATAAATAATATTAAGTATTGAACTGACACAATTGTCTATGCCAACAAACAAAGAAGTCTTGCATACTTATTCCAAGTCTGCTTCAACAATACTCTATTACCTTTTTTCATGGACTTCAGTTTAACAGTGATTTCTAAACAACTCAAATCTCGAAAAGGTTTGTGACATCATATGTTTTTTTGTTTGTTTTTGTGTTATTCAGACTTCAATGAAAGGTAAAGAGAAGGAGTCCAAGCAGCAGATGGATCATTCCCAGTCTGATGGAACAAGCATCACTTTTGGTTGTGGAGGCAGTAGTTGTACTTGATCCTGTTGTTGAAGTTGTAGTTGGGGTAGTGGTTGTAATTTTAGTGGTTGTAGTTGGGGTAGTGGTTGTGGTAGTTGAGGCAGTGGGTGTAGTTGGAGTGGTGGTTGTAGTTGGTGTAGTGGTTGTAGTTGTAGCCGTGGTTGTAGTTGGTGTAGTGGTTGTAGTTGTGGCCGTGGTTGTAGTTGGGGTGACGGTTGTAGTTGTGGTGGTTGTTTTTGAGGCGGATGTTGTAGTTGGGGTACTGGATGTAGCTGTAGTTGGGGCGGTGGTTATAGTTGGGGTAGTGGATGGAGTTGTAGTGATAGTAGTCGGGGTGGTGGTTGTAGTTGTAGCCGTGGTTGTAGTTGGGGCGGTGGTTGTTGTTGGAGCGGTGGTTGTTGTTGAGGTGGTGGTTGTAGTTGGGGTGGTGGTTGTAGTTGGTGTAGTGGTTGTAGTTGCAATGGTAGTTGTTGTTGAGGCGGAGGTTGTAGTTGGGATGCTTGTTGTTGAGCTGGTTGTTGGAGTTGGGATACTGGATGTAGCTGTAGTTGGGGCGGTGGTTGTAGTTGTACTGGTTGTAGTTGGGACTGTGGTTGTAGTTGTAATGGTTGTCGTTGGAGCGGTGGTTGTAGTTGTAGTGGTTGTCGTTGGAGCGGTGATTGTAGTTGTGGTGGTTGTTGTTGGGTTGATGGTTGTCGCTGGGGTGGTGGTTGTCGTAGCACTAGTTGTAGTTGGGGTGGTGGTTGTAGTTGCAGCGGTGTGTTGTTGTTGTGGTTGGTTGTAGTTGCGGCGGTGGTTGTAGTTGTGGGGTGGTTGTGTTGGTGATTGTATGTTGGGTGGTTTGTTAGTTGGGTGATGGTTGTTGCTGGATGGTGGTGTGGTTGCGGCGGTGTTGTAGTTGGGGTGGTGGTTGTAGTTGCGGGTGGTTGTAGTTGGCACGGTGGTTGTAGTTTGTTGGGGTGGTTGTTGTAGTTGCGGGGTTGGTGTTGTAGTTTGTGTTGGGACGGTGGTTGTGGTTGGGATGCGTGGTTGTGTTGCGACGTTGTAGTTGTTGTGGGGTGGTTGGTTGTAGTTGCGGCGTGGTTGTGGTTGTAGTTGCGGCGGCGTGTTGTAATTGGGTGGTGGTTGTAGGTGGGGTGGTTGTGTTGTAGGAGGGGTTGTAGTTGGCGGACAGTGGTTGTGGTTGCGGCGGTGGATGTAGTTGTACGCTGGGACGGTGGTTGTTGTTACGCGTGTGGTTGTAGTTGGGGCGGTGTTGTAGTTGGGGTGGTTGTGGTTGCGGCGGTGGTATGTAGTTGTAGCGGGGATGTGTTGTGTTGATGCGGTGGTTGTTAGTTGCGGCTGTTGTTGTAGTTGGCGCGGTGGTTGTAGTTGTCGTTGGGGTGGTTATTGTAGTTGCGGTAGTGGTTGTAGTTGTAGCTGGGATGGTGGTTGCAGCGGTGGATGTGGTTGTGCGGTGTGGTTGTAGTTGGGCGGTGGTTGTAGTTGTGAGGTGGTTGTAGTTGTGGCAATTGTTGTAGCTGTAGCTGGGACGGTGGTTTTGGTTGCAGCAGTGGTTGTTATTTCGGCGGTGGTTGTAGTTGCGGCGGTTGTTGTAGTGGGTTATTGGTGGTGGTGTTGTTGGGGTGGTGCTGTAGTTGCGGCGTGGTTGTAGTTGGGACTTGGTTGTGTTGCAGCGGTGGATGTAGTTGTGGCTGGGACGGTGGTTGTTGTTCAGCGGTGGTGTGTAGTTGCGGCGGCTTTTGTAGTTGGGGCGGTGGTTGTGTGTTGGTATGGTGTGTGGGTAGTTGTTCGGTGGTTGTAGTTGGGTGGTAGTAGTTGCGGTGGTTGTAGTTGCGGGGGGGTGTGGGTGGTGTGGTTGTGGTAGTGTGGTGGTTGTGGTGGCGGTGGTTGTAGTTGCGGCGGTTGTTGTAGTTGGGTTATTGGTGGTGGTTGTTGTTGGGGTGGTTTGAGTTGCGCAGTGGTTGTAGTTCTGGGGGTGGTTGTGGTTGCGGCGGTGGATGTAGTTGTACCTGGGACGGTGGTTGTTGTTACAGCGCGTGTTGTAGTTGCGGTGGTTGTGGTTGTAGTTGGGGGTGGGTGGGGTGTGTGTAGTTGGTGGGTGGTGGTTGTAGTTTGGGTGGTGGTGTAGTTGTAGTTGGGGTGGTGGTTGTAGTTGTGGTGGTTGTAGTTGTAGTTGGGGTGGTGGTTTGTTTAGTTGGGGCAGCAGTTGTAGTTGGTGCTGCAGAACAGGCAACACCTGATACTGTACCAACGCTCTGCATGAAAGGTAGAGAACCCAGCATTGAAGCAGCTGCACACAGGTTTGCAGATGCGCAGCCGTAACCTGGATACGTGCTGGTGCCGCTTTTGACTGCAGATCAAAAAGAAGAATTTCAGGATATGTTTTAAATTGGCTACTTTCCAGGAAGCTTAATATATTTCATGCAAAAAACAACTTAACAGCTTTTTAAAAAACTTACACTTTTTTTTTTTTTTTCTTTTTTTTTTTTTTTTTTTTTTTTTTTTTTTTTTTTTTTTTTTTTTTTTTTTTTTTTTTTTTTTTTTTTTTTGTGTTGTTCTTTTTTTTTATTTTTTTTGTTTTTTTTTTTTTTTTTTTTTTTTTTTTTTATTTTTTTTTTTTATTTTTTTTTTTTTTTTTTTTTTTTTTTTTTTTGTGTTTTTTTTTTATTTTTTTTTTATTATTTTTTTTTATTTTTCTCCCAATTAGTTTGCTTTATATGTCAGAAGTATCACAAAAGAATTTGAAATCATCTTTGATAGAAAACCGATGACACAACTGATACAACATAAAGACTTACTGGTTGATTGGAAGCATTGGTTCTCCACTCCCTGACACTGTAATGTGGAGGAGCACTGACCAGTGGAAGGGTCACAAAAGTTGCATACTCCACCATTATTTGACTGAGAAGCAGGATCTGAAACAAAAAGGAGGCCATTTCATTTCAGAACAGAGACTCTTACAACATCAGATTATTGTTTTTATTTCTTTATATTATTCTTTTGTCATCAATGAGCAACTGTAGTATTTAACTTACTTGGCAGAGTTGCTGAGTTGCAGTTATCTGTGTTGCAGCACTGAGCAGAAGCCAGAGCACTTTGAAAACCCAGGTCGACTGAAAATGTCTGAGAGGTTACAGCTGGACACAGGGAGGAAGATGCACATGCCTTGTAGATTTGTGTGACCGGAGTTCCAGATGAAGTAGCTACAAAGGCAAAGTCCAGTTTGTTAATGTTGATGGAATACAAATAGCTTCACAGTGGATGTAATTTAGTGAAAATATTAAATATTATATGAGAAAACATTACCTAGAATGGTAGCTGTAACACACATTGGTTCCAATGAGGAGCATGTAAGTAGTGCTGTGCTTGAACATACTGAATTTGTGCAGGTTTGGCACTGGAGGGCTCCAGCTGCAATCAGGAGAGGAATACAGAAATGATCATCACAATTTAAATATATAGCAAATAGGAGATGTTTTGAAAGTTCATATTGGGTTACAGCAGGTTACAGTTGAGTCAATACTACTCACTAACTTTGGAAAAAAAATTACAATGTAAGATAAAAAAAGATTTAAAGCTTTAAATTAGACTCCCTTCTACCTGCAGGTGAAATGAGTGTAGTTACCTGTGGTGGAGAGTGCCCAGAGAAGAAACAGAGAAAACAGCAGCTTCATTGTGATGAACAGGTCAGTTCTGCAGATTAGTTTCCCTGGACTGTGATACTAAAGCTGAGGAGCAGCACTGCACTTTATATACTGAACAGGTGACATCAGGTTTGGGTGTGTTTACATTTTTACAGCATGATCATTCATACTGTCAAGTCTTCTTTCGTCAAATCATGATGTCAAAGCATCTTACCACGCCTTTCTTCTTCAATTAAACAACAAGTATTCATGCATTAAAACAAGCTCAGAAATTTTCTTTTACGTTGTTAACTTTTCATTAAATAAGAATGACTTCATGTCCTGTTTCATGAGTCATAATTGACACAACTTAGATTTTTGGTAAATGGTAAATGGACTTCTTGCACAATGGTCCATCATTTATCGCAGGAGTTACGTTTTGGAAACAGCCTGCGACAGATTAAATCTGCAAAGTAGCCAGCTTTATTTTTTAAAAATAT